CACGGGCCATTTTCAGGCCCGTGTTGTTTTCAGCCTGAAAGCCTGAAAACAAGGGCCTACAGGCCCCGTGTTGTTTTCAGCCTGAAAGCCTGAAAACAAGGGCCTACAGGCCTGTGTCGTTTCAGCCTAAAACAGGGCCCTCCAGGCCCTGAGTCTTTTCAGCTTGAAACGGAGGGCCATTTTCAGGCCCTCATAAGATCGATCTGCCCTGGAACGTAGGCACCAGACCAGGGTTTTAGCTCAGGCCATTTTTGGCCTATTTTCAAGACAACCTTTGTTAGAGCTTCAACCCCAGGGTCTGGCACGTTTTGGCATTGGCAAGAGCAGGCTCCTGGACGGGCCAGCACTATATAAGACTGGCCCGCCCTGCAGGCTACAGGTAGTTCCTAGGTACTTCCCAGGCACTTCACGTGCAGTTCAGGAGGCAGGAGGTAGAATTCAGGATTCGGCAGCAGCACTCTGGAGGAGCGCTGCAGGAGTAGTAGTAGCGCTAGCAGTAGTCTTCACCGCTGGGCGCCACCTTCTTCCCCCGAATACAACGTACGGTCATTATAGCGGTATTTGACACATCTTTCAGTCTAGATACAGCTATAATGGCCGTACGTTGTATTCGGGGGAAGAAGGTAGTAGCGTTCACAGTAGTCTTCAGCGCAGGGCGCTATTAGGAGCTAGAGTACTACTAGAGAGAGAGAGATTGGGCGGAGGCCAGGGAGACTTACCTGCAGCGCCATAGCTCCACCTTCGCCTTCGAGGTACCTGCAGCACGGCGCCATCTTCACATGTTAGTACCTGGCACATGAGAGAGAGAGAGTTCTTTTTCTTCCTCTTCTCAGTCCACCATCTCCCTCTCACCCTCTTGCTACCTGACTTCACTGCATCAGCAGACTATGAGAGAGTGGGCTTGGTGACATTTGGATCCAGACTCGACATTGGGCTTCAGACATTTGACGAGGGATTATCTGGGACTTGTAACGAAGACTTGGTGTTGACGGCATTCCCATCTTCCCCCTTCTTTTTCGTCTGCTCCGCTCCTCTTCGTCTGTGTATGGACTGGACCTGGCGCATTCTTCCTGTGTGTAGCGCCAGGCCCCTTCACACCTTGTGATGAGGATGATGTATGTTTGGTCTGTACTGCGACATTGATTGGGCTAGTCATTGGTATTCTAGCATTCTGCTGCGCTGTCTTGCACTACATGGGAGAGCTAAGTCCCGTTCAGGTCAGGACTTGTATCGAAGTCTTCCACTGCGCTATAAAGCACCATTTTTGTAAGTATCAGGATGTACACTGCTTGTTGATATTCCACTAGCACTGCATTGTCCATTCAGTCCTTTTCATCACATTGCGATCCTCGGTTATATATGTACATCGCCCAACTGGGCATGTC